TGTCAAAGCGAAATTGTACTTTGTGGAGCTAGTTAGTTTGATAGGAGATCACAAGCTGTTAGAATAGGGAACAGCTGTAAAAAACAAGAACACCGTGGTTTCAACATTGTTCAATGCAGTATCGAAATATGGAATACAGGTGGTGTCTGGGAAATAGAATCATCATCCCTCCAAGTCATCTGATCTTTGTGAAGCGCTATTCAAAATCAGCAATCAGTTCCTGTTTTTATCAAAATAAAAAACAAACCAACAAGTGTATCTCATATTTGTTTCAAAATCAAGAATTGTATGTGTGTTGCTTTACTTTTCTTTAATCATCAGTTTCAATTCCCACTGTATTAAACCCTCAGATGTTATAACTGTTCTGTCTGTTCACACGATATGTCTCTCTTTTCTTCACCTGACCTAACTCTGAGCTTTACCCTAACTTATTACTTATATATAACAGAAGCATATAAATATCACAGTTTACAAAATTAAAATCTAAACCTTCATATCATAAACTATAGCCACAAATATATTTAAATGATACGTCCCAAAGAAGGTCAGTTGGCCGAAACGCTCAACACTTAGTTATTTTCTTCTTTCCGTATTTTATTTTTTATATTTTATCACGTTATATGTATGTGTGTGTGTGTGCTTCTTATAGCAAAGCCACATCGGGCTATCTGCTGTGTTCACCGATTATCACGTTATAGCTGCGATTATTTTTATTCGTTTCTCCTTACAGCCTGACCATAGGTGGTTTATTTGTAAGTTTGAGAGCTTATAACGTAAAGTTCTGGGTTCGATACCCGCGGTGGACACAACTAAGATAGCTTACTATGTAGCTTTGCACCTAAAACAAACATACAAACTTTATAGTCTATGTTAAATATGAAATAAAATGAAATGTACTTTTTATTTCTACCCTTTGTTGATCTTTTAACATGTTTTTATTGTTACCTAAATTATTATCCATGATGAGTAATTAAACTTTGCAGCCTTTAAAACTTTCTATATAAGGAAAATTCGTGAAGAATTTATGCTAAACAGACCACGCTAATCTTTTGAATAGTATACTTTAGTGCCTCAGTGTAACGAATTTGTCATTATATATTTGGTTTGATATCAACGTTTGTTTAGATTCAATTTATAT